CCACCACGTAAGGAATTCAATAAGAATTAACTATGATGCGTTCTAGAGGAGTCCGCGTGGAGGTCGACCTGATAGCATATGAACAATTCCTTTTCACTGACTAATATGCAGAGTACTACTGCTAAGTATATATATATATTTTTATTGCACTAAAACATACTGTAATAATAACAAATTAGTAACAAAGTAAGCAAAGGCGAACTTATCTCTAAGAGAGATTTCTTCCAGTCAACCTAACACAGTGGCGTAGGAAGTATTGAGTTCATTATTATTTTATAACATCTACCTCGTCTTCTTCGATATTTTCAAAGTGGAAGTAAGATGAGAAACATTGGTCTAAATAGTATGGAGGTACCTACTAGGTATTTATAGCAAAACAAGATATCGTACCTATTAGTGTGCCTGACCATTCTGAGAAGTTGTAAGGGAAAGTTAATATGCATATCGACACTTCAAGATAGTCTATCATATCCAAGGCCGTTCGAAGTCCTTGATTGCATACCAGACCCATTTCTTATTCTAATATTTATCTAGTTGTATTAGCATTTGCGGATTTACTATATTTATTTTTATCTAAACGCCTATAGGACACTGGTGTTTATAATTTTAGAAATTTGGAATCTTAGTTTTGTATAATATAGGATTAGTGAACTGTATATGCAATTTGACGCGTTAAATTAGGTATTACTTAATTTTTTTTTAAAACACCCACATCTATATTTATCGATGGTTGAATAACAATATGTATATGAAAGACAATAATTTTAAATAATTTAGATATGACAGGTGTTTTCTTCTTATTTCTAAACATCAATAATTCAATTTAAATATTTTTTATTATTTAATACATTATAGACAATTTTCAATTATTTCATAGAATAACAATTATTATAATAATTATTATTACTTATTATATATAACACTAGCTTTTACCCGTAACTATGTACATACGTGTGGATTTTGGAAGTGTGTATTATGAATATATTAATGGAATTACTCTTGAAATAAATTCCAATAAATTGACATTGAAATTGAGATGTTTCGCATTCTCAAATTGCAATACTAGCATATATATATATATATATATATATATATATATATATATATATATATATATATATATATATATATATATATATATATATATATATATATATATATATATATATATATATATATATAATATATATATATATATATATGTGAAGGGTGATTGATGAGAATGAAAACAGGCCATGGGCTACATCATGATGAATTCATCAGGAATTAACCATGATAGTTTCCAGAGAGAACCGCGAGGAGGTCGACCTGGTTGTGTATATTGCTAACAATGGGATTCTCAGTCTCTATTACTAACAATCCCTTTCCCCCTAGATGTACCTATATTAGTGTAATTTGCCAATGCAAACTATTGTAACCGATCCCAATTATAACTTAATTCCCTTAACCATTGTTTCATGAGTGCAGTATAAAATTGTCCTTGGCAATAGATTAGATTGATATTGAATTCAAGAGTTGACTTGCAGATTTAATGTTAGATTTTCAGAGACTCAACTGTTAAAACTGCATTCAATTTAGTGTAGTAGTTTTTGTTTGATGCCAAAACGTATGTAAATATTTGTAATGTACAGACAATTTTATTATGTTAGTAAAATTGGCACTGGCATTGTATACTTAAGAGATGTCGATTTCTTTTCTTAAAAAAAAGTGTATGAAATCAATCAAATATAAGAGTATATATTAATAATAAGGCCAAGTAATTGTCTAATATTTACTTGCTTTATCCTAAACATACTAACGGACAAGTGAAGATAAATAAAAGTTTACAAAACATACACCTATCTCTCGTGTGTGCGCTACTATTGCCTTTTTAGCACACAATGTGAAACGTAGATAGACCGGTCTGGCTGGATACTGAGCACACCTTCGGACTAGCCTCATGTTACCTGTGTTATTCATTATAGATACCAGTGACGTTTTAATTATAGTACTGTATGTTCACATGCTGACCACATCCTCAGATCTTGAATGTGGTCAACATTAACTACTCGAGGAAAACATTAATCATTTGATTTAAAGAGGACTAAATTGATATAGGTACCTATCTGTGATATAAATAATATTTTCTCTTTATATTATATTTTTTAATTTTAAATAATTTAACATAATGTTTCACAAATAAAATGTATTGTTTCCAACAAAAAAACAGAGTTCATTTGTAGCAAAACCAGTTATTTTGATTTACAAACTAAATTATTGAACCGATTTTGATAAAATTTCTATGCAACTAAACTGTTTATCCCTTCAGATGAAATAAGAATTTTCCTAATTGGTCTACAATATACGAAGTTATAATGTAACAAACATAATAAAACAAGCTAATTGAAAACCTTCGTCTTATTGACGTCAGTTAAAAACAATCTTTAATCGTGATAAAACTAGTTATTTTTCATTTAAAAACTATATTACTGACATTTGTTTCATAAAATTTCTGTAGGACCTTCTCCTTTTTTTAATCCGTTGCAAAGAGAAGATTTTCAATTTTGTAGTAGTTTTAAGAGACATTGAAAAGAAAAAAGTATTAAATTTATCTATATTCTTTGTGCCAGTAAAGTCTCGTATCTATAACGAGATATTTTCGCTAATTTTGGACTTTGCCATTTTTTGTCACTTTTATTGCAATAGACATAGGATGTACTTCGATGAGCAAGTCTCACAATCATTTTTTCACGATTATTATTATTTTTTTTTTTTTTTTTGCAGAAGCCTTATATTATTTTTGTCATCTATTCGAATAAACCGTAAAATAGTATTCGAACAAAAATAGTAATTGTAGAATCAATACGGAAAACGCACATTTACAGTTGGTTCCATATTAATCTTGTCTAATTTGCAGTCGGCTTTTGTTAACATTCCAACTGCAAATTTTCCAAGTAACAACGAGATATGTGTGTGATGGTTTTCTAGCGGACCTCAGCAATTAGACTGAGGAGCACCGTTAACGTTCTGCTTTATTTATTGCCCGTAATGTATACAATATGCGTGTACTTTTGTATCTTTCCATTTACTATTCCGCTGTCTACTAGATAGAACATATGTAATATAAAGTTAACAGTTCTACTAATGTCTCTCATATTTTGACGCATGGCAAGTCATATTTTCAAACGGTTAATGGTAATAGAAGTTCCTCAAAACAGTTACCCAGTCTTACATTATAATTTAAAACTAAAATTTGGCGTAAACAAAACTAACTACCGATGTAAGCATTTCGAGTTGCATATGCAAATTTTTTGATAAATAATAAACTATAAACAAATATCTAAATAAACTGAACGAAAAGAAAATAACTACCTAGTTCTAATTATAATAAAAAAGTATACAAAAAGTTCTAATTATAATAAAAAAGTATAAAAAAAGTACCAAAATATTATTGATATATGTATGTCTAGTTCTAATGAGATTATTTTTATTTTTTGTATAAATAAGCTTCAATATTTGTACACCTACAGTTTGGCAGAGTAAGATTGGACTAATTTTCTTATAATGTAATACCTATTAAAATGTACATTCTTCTAGTAAACAAATGAATTCTAATTATATAAAATTTTTTCATGCAAGCTGCATAAAAAAAAGTATGGCAAACAAACAATACCTTAATATTCAGGATCGAAAATTTTGCATTCTCAAAACAAAAATAAGTAAACGTAGTGAAAACTCAACTATTTGCCTACTTTAAATTTTGACAACAATATATATAAATTTGTATAGATATTAAGAGCTTTACAAACCTAATTGTGATTAAATAAATTTGTACCTAATCTAATGTGATATTGTAAATAGATTTTGCATGTACCAACTACTTTTACTTATACTGACTTGCACATTTAATTAATCATCTTTGCGTGAACATAAGTCAGTGCTCTGCCACGTCATAATTTGAACGCTATTGGAAAATACCGATAATTTTATTAGTGTTGTAAACAACAAAAATACAATTAGTATTAAATTGACCGTGAAAATTGTAGTTTATTAACAAAATACATGTTAACGTTTGGTTTTAATTAAAATGAAATTATAAATTTGAAATAATAACACAAGTCTAGTCAAATTATCATTCATCATCGTCGAATAAACCGTTAACTATCCACTGGTGAACACTGTCCTTTCCCATAAGAGGAGTTTTTCCTGTAGCTACTACGCTTGGCCATGGGTTGGCAACTGAAGTTAAGCTTTGGTGATGTTTTAAGAGGGACGTTGCTATCCATTCTTAGGTTATTAAGTTCCATTTGTCGCCTCTTACGACATCCATGAGAAAGGAAGGAGTGGCCCATTCTATGCTGGGACCACACGGCAAAGGTACGATAGGCATAATAGCATAATAGGTTTAACACCTGTGCGGGGTCAGGACGGATGGCTAGTAATTTTTTTTTTTAAACAACTTAGAATGGCAAACAAGCTGACAGCCCACCTGATGGAAAGTGGTAGCCGTTGCCTATAAACGTGAGCAGTACCATGGACATAACAGAGTATACTGTTTCACCCATGATACCCCCCATGCGTTGCCATTCCTGACGACTCAGGTGTTATTCCTCTGTACCCAGTAAATTCACGCCATATCCCATCCTTCAAACCGAAACACAGCCATGCAAACACAAGTGCTTCACGGTTGAAACACGAATGGGACAGAGGTACCCAAGCAATCGAATTTTGTACAAAGTCTCCCTCTGGTATTTCTTATAGAAACCGCTTTTTCTTCTAAATGTTAACAATCTCTTCCAACCATCAGTATATTAGATCAGAGGCACGGAGGTACTAAACGGTATGAAGCTTCAGTACATAGTACGATACGGTTTATACCTAACTCGTTTTCGTCCGCACTCGACCGTCACCATGTGTTTCACTGCGACATTTTACGCCAGGTTTAGTCGCATGATCGGAATAATTAAAACAAAGACCGGTCTCTCTAAATGCGTCGAAAGTGAAACTGTTTAAAAAATCAAGTAGAATCAAGTAAAGAGTAAAATTACCTATATACAGGCATCTAAGTGCCTATATTAGCTAAATAATTAAAGTGTAATACAGTACGGAGAGAGCAATGATTGGAGTTATTCTGCGTAGCAGGATCTGAAATAATGATATCCGCAGAAGATTTAAAGTGGTCGATAATCAAGTTTAAGCAGCAATAACCAGCCCTATTTCTTTAAGAATTGTCAACCAAAGAACTGTGCAAGAGTAGCGAACCCATGCAAGGAACTTCAGTGTAGGACGACCTACCACTAAATGAAGGAATGACATAAAAAGTGTTGCAAGGTTTCAGGTGACTCAGGAATATTCTTTATAGTAGTTCCCCAAAAGGAAGCCTAATCACAATTAGTAGTGGAGAATAATTATGATTGAAATGATATAAGCAATTAAGTAAAATGAAAATAAGCTATTTCACAGGTCATCACAGGTTACGTGTCTATTTCGAAAACGATGCTAAATGATAGGTGTTCAAAGCGGCACGTAAAGTTGTACAGATACTCACCATACTTAGCGTGCTTAATAAACTATAATTTGTCGTCCAGTCGCCTCTCGAACATCGTTCAGCAATTTGTAAATAATGCTAAACTATCGCTGCAATGTTTACCAAGAACCGTTTTCTCGCAGTAAGGTTGGAGCCTCAGGTTGGACCGGTTAAGTTCACATACAGCCATTTATGCCGATAAGATGATAAATATAAAATTATAAAAAAATCTTGTAAAAATTGTTGATTTCAATATTGACTAAATTTATATGGCCCTCATCAGGAGGTGTCAAAATTGAAATAGGAAATTAAAGCTTTTTAGTAAGCACCATAAAATCAACTTGAACTAAATTGATTCTTAGTTAGAGTAAACATAAAAATCACAAAATATGTAGTCGATTTGAGATATTATCCTTTTTGAATCCCATTGATTAAGAATATCTTTCAAAAATTCCATAGAGTTAATTTTTTTCTTTTTAGTTTCAGTTCGTCTACCTCACGTTATGCTCGCTTACACAAGCGGCATATATCAGCCGTATGGCGAATGTAAACAGGATCCGGGGACCAGTAGTACCCTTCAGACCAGGAGTGACGCTGTCCAGACCATGGACGCATCCACGGCTCGTTCAGGCAGCTTCACACAGAGTACCCTATGTGATCTACAGAAATCCACCGCACAGGTAGAAATACGTTTTCTGTATGTAGGTTCACTTTTGGTTTCTGTTGGTTGGTATTTTGGCAGAGTAAGAAATCAATCCTTTTCTGGCCTTGGATATTGTAAAAAGTAATCAGAGGAATATGTCATAAAATAAGATAAGGAAAAGGCAAAATAAAGCCTAATACCGTGTTACAGGTATTTGACTAACAATACACGGATCAAGTGATCGCAGTAGGACAACAAATCCTCTTCTTAAGTGTGAGATTTGTGCCCAGTGCTGGGATGTTAGTGGGTTGTTACGGTAATGATGGTAACTTTTTTCAATAACCTTTAAATATTCCAACAATATTGTCAATAGACAAGTGCCCAATTTGGCGTTTTGCCACACTAGAAATAATATTTGCCGCCATTTTTAACGATCAGCCAGTCTCAATTTTGAAAAAGAATAGTTTTAAAGTTTCTATCTTCATATACTTTGTTTTCGTTATTAAAGATGAAGATGAAATGGTAAATCCGCCTGTGCCATATACCCTGATGGAGTACCAGAAACAAATAATAGATTATAATAAAATCATGCCACCTGACTTCGTCTCCATTGCTATATATTTTGTGGATAAAAGGGGGGCTAACTTAACTCATGCTTAACTGTTAAATGAAATGAGATGATCATTTCAGATACGCAGTAAAACACTACCAAACAGTTCCCCGCAAAGTATTTACCAGCAGCCCGTGGAAGACCACAGCGAAGTTGCCTCCGATAACGCCCGTGACCCCGGAATACGAGTTCATACGGGCAGCATCCGCTACCCCAGCGCTACACACTGATGGTGGTACAGGTTGACTAACTATTGTGCACCGTCGCACTTCTATTATTTTTATCTTTACACCTAAATTACTTATATATAATCGAAATCATATGAATCATTTTAATCTACCAGTAAAATGGAACAAATTCAAATTATGGCACGCTTTACTTAAATAAGAACTTGTAGGTATTTCATTATCTTCTGTCATTTCTATTTAATACGAATAATATAACATATATTTTTATTTTACAATATGGTAATCTGTTTATTGTTTCTTTTTTCTCTTTTTTTGTGCACAGATAGACTGTTTGCTCCGCCCACAAGCAATGATAAGATGTCACTTACAATTTTCATATTAGTAAATTTGATTTTAGAAAATATAAACTCATCGATCATCTAGTCTAGAGTATTCAATACTTGACTTCCTAAAAAATATACATAGACATATTTCCCTCAAAAAATTACAATACTAAACTTCTTGTAAATACCAAACAATTACAAGAAACGATCACAGTGAGAAAACAATGGACGGTCTTATCGCTAAAAACAGTCTCTTCCAGGCAACCTTTAAATGGAGTGGTGATATAGATACCTAATTATAATATTTAGTAACAATAAACATTTAAAAGCGAATCGTAATCGGCTAATCAATGGTCGATTTGTAATATATGCAGATCTATTAAATACGAGGTTTGTCCGGAAAGTACGTATAAAAGTTTTTTAAAAATTTTATTTTACAATTATTCAGGTAAATCAATTTTATCCCCTTCAAAGTACTCCCCCTGTGACATAATGCACTTGTGCCAACGCCGTTTCCACTGTGAGAAGTCTCCTTGAAAGTCCTCTGGTTGTAGGTTTCTCAGCTGCCCCGTCGTAGCTTTTTTTATCTCATTTATGTCCCCCAAATGCCGCCCCCGAAGTACCAATTTGGTTTTTGGGAACATCAATCTTTTCGGTCACCGTAATGGAATTTTTACTCAAAAACTCACGGACAACAAGAGAGGTGTGGGCAATTGTCAAATTACGACATTTAAACATCGACGTAGAATTTTCCATCAACTGTCTGGCCTGGAATCTTGATGGACAATCGAACATCGAAAAAAACTCAATCTTGAATTTGGTTTTCGATTTTTTTGTTCGTTTCCCCGTGTCTTAATATATTACGACGCGCTGCTCTTCAACGGAAGCGGGCTCCATGCCGACGGGGTTTCGTTAAGAGGTAACTTCACAGATGGCGTGACAAGCCAGTTCGCACCGCACGGCGGTCAGACCAGAACTGAAGCATTGTTAGGGACATAAGGAAGGGGTCCTGCGCTTACCTGGCCTCCCCACTCCTCTTTCTCGCATTCCATTAACGAACTTTCCGGACAGACCTATAATTAGTTTGCTTTGTAAAAAAAAGTTCGGTACTTTAATCGTGACACAAGTTCACATGGCAATAGTTCCTATCGACTTTTCGTAAAAAAATATTCAAATCTATTCAGAATTAGCGAATTAGGAATCTCTTTTTAGAAGTGTTTTAAAATACAGACGTACTAAAAACTCCTTTATTATTTTAAATATTACATTGTGACATCTTTCTACGCTGTGGGCGGGCGCAAGTTGTTTCAGAATATTATGACCGGCAGGTGCTATCCACACCATACCAGCACCGAACCTTAGCCTGTCGGAGAAACCTATTGTGGTCATTGAAGCGTCTGATGGTTTGATAAACCATAAATCTCCAGATCAGGTGAGTTATTTTTGAATTGATAACGCTTGAGCTATCAGTTTACCTGATGTATGGTCTCGGAATTAAATGAGGCAATTCCTTTTCCGTAGATGTCGTAAGAGGCGACTAAGGGAACTTAACGCTCGAGATATGAGCAGCAGTTTGTTCTTAAACATTACCAAGCCCGACTGCACCTGCCAAGCGTGGCAACTATTGGCGAAAACCCCCAATAGGAGGCTATGTTCAGCAGTGGACAGTTAATGGCTAATATAGTATGGTGTCAGCTTACGCTGATAGGGTACTAGTAAGAGATGGTAGGTGAAGATGAAGTTAGGTGAATTAGATTATATTGATGAATGTATTAGGAATTAATAAAAAGGTAAAAAGAAAACCGTATGGAGGTTAAACTAAAATATTGCTTTAATAATGAGGCCATTAGACGTCGTCACCAATGCGTTAATCAGTGATAATTTTAAATTCCCGCTAAGACATAATAGACGCGTAAGGGATTTTAAAAGCAACAGAGAACTGTCCTATGCTACCTGCATCTACTCTCTTCTTGCAATATGGACCTCAAGTAAGTCTTGAGGTTGTTTCTTTAGCAAATGGAAGGTCGTCCTACATTGTGTTTACTTGTATGGGATCATCATTTAAGAACCTTTCATCCCTATACATTGTCAATTCAGATTCTTATATTTATTATTATTTTTGTTAACGTAATTATTGTTACAGTCTAAACCTGTGTACGAAGTTACAGAAAAACCCGTAGACCCACCCATGTATCAAATGAGTCCAAAAATTGAATTTCCCGTGGGATTTTCTAAAGCAACGGTAAGTAAACTTACATAATAATTGTTTTTGATGGAAAGTCGATTTTAATTACAACATGTTATATGAATTACAAATAAATTTTTAAGAGACAATGACAACTATTTTCAGCCGATTTGACTTTATCAGTGATAAATTCTAAGGAATCTTTTTCATTATGATAAAAAAATTATATTAAATCATCGTAAAATTAATTACATACAATTCAATTAGTTTGTTAAAAACTTTGCTAAAATATATCGTAATATACATAAGAATACAGTCAAAACGAAAAGCTCCATGATTATAAAGACAGTTAATAAGAATATCACACCCAATCTGCATATATAATCTGTTTCAGTCGTTAACCCAACCAGAAATTCAGGGATTAGTGAGGAATGGGGTAGCCCTACAGTTTGCATCAGACTATGGTCTACCCGCTGTTGCTCTACCACAATCTCCGATACCTCAGTCTGCGATAGGATTACCTCATCAATTTACAATACAGGTATGTTGAAAAAAGTTTACAACTATGATCCCAAACAAATACTTCTAACTACCCCATAGTTAGAAGCATTTGTTGGATGTTGTGGTGAACGTAACACACTCAATATAAATCCTTCTAGGTATATGACTGATATGTTTTATACAGCTTAGATTATGAACGTAAGTACGTTACACAAAGTATATAAGTATCCGATTAGTAGAGCTGACCCCAAATAGCGAAATACAGAACATTATATCACTATCTTAATAACCTAATAAAAGACACATATTATTGTTCTTGTACGTAATGATTTCCCGATATGTTAATATCTTGTAATAAGTTTGTAAAATATGGGTGAATATAAAACTTTCAAAATATTTTCCATTACAGGGATTTAACAGTATCCCATCACAACAAGACCTTACTAACAATGGTGCGGAAGGAATAGTAATACCCCCGCAAGTGTTATACCAGCCAGATCCAATGTTCTTGCAGAAATTGCAAAGTCAACTTATGCAAAGATTCCCGTCTGTGGAATTTATTCCGTACGCTGCCGATCTTCCACAATCACCAATTCCATTACAAGTGCAAACTGAAACTCCATCGCCACTTTATTTGTTAGAACAAGAAGAAATAACTAAGCAGACGCCAACGTCGTTCGAACCATCCAAACATATTGTACAAAGAGAAACGCAAGAAGGTTCTATAGTAACTTTAGTTCCTCAAGCTCTTGTAGTCAGTAACGTAACAGAAAATCAAATCGAAGTTATATCAGCTACGGAACCCCAAAATGTAAGTTTCGAAATGGTAGCGGCCGAATCACAACCAGGAACTACAACAATTAAATACGTCATTGAAACTAAGGAACCACAAGCAGTACAAAACACGACTCCTATTTATTATGCTCAAATTGGACAAAGTGTTGGCGAATCTGTCGCTAAAGGGTTTTATTCGGCAATAAATGACGTGAGAGCAGCTGCTGCTTTAGTACAAGTAGAGAAACCACAAGAACAGACTACACAAGTAGAGAACGTAACTACAACCACTATCAATCCAGATTTAAAAGCGTACTTTGTACAGAAATCAGAAAATCAAAATAATCATAGTGAAGTAAAACCTCTCTTGGGTATTCCGTTTACAAAAACAGCAGATTCTGTTAACATTGCTTATACATTATTGAGAACAAGTGATAAAGAACCAAAAGTAACACAAGAAGGAGCCGTTTATGCAGGACAATTGGTAGAAGCTACTATAAGTGAAGACCACGACTTTAATAAACAGAAGAATAGTCTTATTTCAAAAAGAGCTCCTTTACGTCTATTTGCAGTAGAAGAAAACAAAAATACGACACCAGCTGCAAATACTCCACAAAAATTCACTGTTGTAAAAGCAAAAATACCTCCAAAAAGCAAATTGACATTTGACGATAAAACTGGTGAACCAGTTCTGAGAATATACGCCAGTTACATGAACAACCCTTTGCAGGTAAGTGCAAATTTTGTATTTCAATTATTAAAAGCTTTGTATTACTATTTACGTCTTGTTTGTCTAAAAAGCATTATTAAATATTTGTATTATAAATTTTCAGAAAGAAATAATAGCATCTAAATTGGCTAACATAAAGAATGTTAATGAAATTATATCACGAAAACAGGACAGTGTCAATGATTGGAAAGCTGCCACAGTTAAAGCAATTGATAAAACTCAAGAGCCTAATTATGTGACAAATTTTGGACTCAAACTTAGATCTAGAAGTGATGATTACATACCACTCTTTGAAGAATATGAAGAATAGTTTTAGGTTCTTGTAATTAATTGATAGTGATTCTAATTATTGTATAAATTTCCTGGCAATGTGTAGAGATGTCACGTCTCTTTGAGTGTGAATGGGAATTATTTAGATTAATACCAGCTGTTGTATTTTATCACTGTCTGCCACAAGCTAGTTCCATCCCGACGAGGAAGTGCGGCGATCTTCCACCGTACATTCCTGTAGACATGTTCTTCTAGACACAGCCAAAGTTCTAAAAGCTTCTAGAGCACATTCCTTCTTAAAGGGATGGCCTGCAATATTTCTTATGTAGCGGAGACAAATGGGCAGCAGTAATCACTTAATATCAGGCGAAAGGCATGCTTGTTCATAAAAAAAAAAAATGGAACTCCATTATCCGTATTTCACCAAACCAATATATCAGACACGCATGGAAATAAAACTTTGTTTAATGAAAAGAAAAATTAAATAAAGTCGTTTCTTCTGTACTTAAATTCTAAATATTAAAAAGTTATAGGAAAGCATTTTGAAAAATGTAAATAATGTGTAGAGGTCCAAAGTATAAATCTGATACAAACGTACTATATACTAGCCGTAAACTATCCACTGCTGAACATAGCCTCCCCCTATTGGTTTTGCAAGTAGTAGTCATGATTAACGGGCTGGTTTTAAATCGCAGTCAGGCCTTTGGTGATGCTTCATCACAAGGTTTGCCGTGTGGTCCCGGCATAGAATGGGCCACCTTGTTTTCCAGCGGGGGTGGTAAGAGGCAACTAAAAGAAATAAATGATCGAGGGATGAGCAGTACCATTCCTCTTTACACGCTAATCCGCCCACCAAGCGTGGATACTAAATGCCAAATCCCCCAATAAGGGGAGGCGTATGTTTAGCAATGGACAGGCAATAACTGATACAATAATGATAAAAATAGTATATGAAATACTCATTTATTTTGGATGAACTTCAAATTAAAATCTGTGCTGGGTGTATAAAGAGATATAATATGATTTGATTAATCTATTTCATTTGTTCTTTGATTTACGTAGCATAAAATTGATATTATTCATTGAGATTCAAATGTAAATATTTTTTCTCTATTTTCTATAATTAGATTACATTTTATAAGTGCATTTAGCAATTTAGTATGTTAGTATAAAATGCCAAATTGTTATTTTTAGTAATAATTATTATAATAAAAGAAATATATAAATGTAATAAAGTTTTTATTTACTATTGATTTATATTCTTATAACCATTTACAAAATTAATTTAATTTTAATACAGTTCAATAACTTAGTTATACAGTCATGGTTTTTAAGGGATTAAAAAAAAAAATTGAGCCAAATAAATGAAACCTATACATTATTATAAAACTGTATTACGAAATACATGGTATATTTTTAAATTTGCAATGGCAGTGCAGCAAGCAACAATTTATATGTCTAAACAATTTCTTGTGTATAGAATTTTAATAACACAGTACGGTAATAAATTAGTATCTGAGCCATGTAGGAAATCGTTTACTACGGTAAAACTTTCGATTCCGACGAGATATATTATATAGGGAACATATTTTTTCTCAATCAATAGTATTGAATACTTTTACAATTTGTTACATAATGATAATTCTCAATTTGAATTGCAGTATATTTATCAATAATTTAGCATTCATAGTATAGATTCCCCATAATTGCATGCATAACGCATGCAAGAAAAGGTATGAAAATAAATGTGAAGAAGACGAAGGTAATGGTTTTTAAGAGGGATGAATGAAGTTTAATGGCACGCCAGATAAAGATAGGAGATGAAAAAGTGGAGCAAAAGTGAGTGAGTTTCTATATTTGGATTATGTTGGGTTATGAGGGATGGAAAGCGTAAGACAGATAATGAAAGGAGAGTGAAAGCGGGAACGGTACAAAGCTCGCCTTGTCATAAATTCAGGGAGTACTGACACCAACAGTCATGTCCATACCTGAGAATCGTGGGTATAGCAGAGGAACCATGAAAGTAAAATAAATGCTGTAGAGATGAGAGCTCTGAGAAGTATGTGTGATATTATATTAAAAGATAGAGTAAGAAACAGTATGATTAGAGAGAAGTGTGAAGTGAAAGACGATGTAGTGACAAAAAATGAAAAGGGATGTTGATGTTGCTGGATTTGGCCATTTAGAGAGGATGGATGAAAGAAGAATTACGAAAGAGATTTATGATGTGATTGTAAGATGTGGGTAGGGGCCGCCCTCGATCAAATAGGCCGCATGCTGAAGAAGGGCCTAATTAAAATTGAATGAAAAGATTGATGAATGTGAAAGAAGCGAAACAGGTTTGCTTGAAGCATTTGGCGTTCCATTGCTTCTGTTTACCCTAATAGGAGACAAGCGTAACAGATGTATATAAATATATGTCCCGCAGAATTTGCGATTCGATAGCGCTCATGTAATATGTACAGAGGTATGGTGCATATTATTTTTTATATTGATACGTCCCAAAATCCACTTCGCAGCTCAGTTAATAATTTAAAATTAATATATTACTATACATTGAACCAAATACAAATGGAAATTGAATCAATTTTGACACAATATTATTGTTAAATCGAGCTATCATCACTCACAATAGTCAAGTTCGCATTTAAAAATAATGCCATATTTGTTCTAATTTTATGGTAAGCGTTCAATTGTATAAATGTAAAAACAAATCGACAATTACAGCAATTTGCTAGTAAAGATTAATACTTAAAAAAACAAGTTCCTTATCTATTCACTTTATGAACTATTAATTTCAAATGTGAAAATTACAAATTTATAAAACCCTACTAGCTTTATTAATATTGTATATATATATACACATAATAAATATATTAATTTAAAAACTAGGACACCCACTGAGATGTATTATTATTAATTTTAGGAAAATAATTCTAAATCTATAACAATACATATTATGCACAATTTATATTGTATATTGCACTAAGTGAAAATTTTAATTAATGATACAATATGAATATTAAGTGACCCATTTCTTTGGCTTTATAAAATATTTAAAACAATCTTTCAAAAACAATACTGGTATAAATTAATTTTATTCTTCAAAAATTTGTTGCTAAAATTCTAAAAAAATTTAATTTTGCCATGACCTAAATAATATAATATATTACTACACTATTAGATAGTAATATATTTTTATATATTATCACATGTTGACTAATATATCAGTAAGTTTAACAATATTTTGTGTAATTGTAAATCTAGTAATGCCAATTTTTTTTTTTCACTCTTGTACTGGTGTATTGTAATTATTTCTCTAGTGGGTTTTACATCTTAGAGATGAAAAATTAATAATAAAATTCAAAAAAAAATGTATCACTTCTTCTTTTCATCTCTAAAATGTAGTGACAAGTAACCAAAGGAAAAATACTACAATATAATTCATTATGTGACAGTATTATAAATTATAAATATAGGTACTTAATAAAAAAAGTAAGAGGGCAGACAATTGTGCGTTACAATTACGAGACAATCTAAAAAATCACCTCAGTGGATTGAAAGCGGATCAACTAAGACTTGGACTTTAGTTTTTCAAGTTGATCGAAGAACCAGGGCAGGCCGGCAGTTCGCTTCGTCAGTATATCGCAGCCAGTCTCCGTTACTAGCAACGTTTGTTCAAACTGTAATAGAAATAAATAGTTCAGAAATTGTTGAAATATATTTATTCTTATATTTAATTTTCTTATATTTAATAGTGAATCTTATAACTAATAGTAAATTTATAGGGTACAGAGGAATAACACCTGAGTCCTCAAGAATGGCAACGCATGGAAGGTATCATGGGCGAAACAGTATACTCTGTTATGTTCATAGTACTATTCATGTCTATAGGCGACAGTTACCACTTTCCATCAGGTGGGTCGTCAGCTTGTTTGCCATTCTAAGTTGCATAAAAAAAGTTTTTCAAATTGTTATAATGGGTTTTAGTGAAACACCAATTTCAAAAAAAGAGTTTTTACAAAAAACAAGATCTATATCCCAATTTCATCAAACCGTTAACTGTCCACTGCTGAAGATTGGTCTCCCACATAAGGGGCTTTAGCCAGTAGTTGCCACGCTTGGCAGACAAGTTAGTAATTGCAGTTAAGCTTTGGCTATGTTTTAAGAGGAACACTGCTGCCCTGCTGCTTACGACACTCTGGGAAAGGAAGGCCCATTCTATGCCGGGACCACAGCAAAATCTTAGAGGTAACATTAACAAAGAATTCTGGAGTTAAGTCTAAAAGTACACACTACTGTACTGTGGTTACACACTTTCTCAAAAATAATCTTAAATATGCCAACAACTATATATTGTGACTTTGCCAATTTTGAATCAAGTCTTTGTTTTACTAAGAACTACCAACATATAAAATCCCCCTTTTGTAGAAAAATCAGAATGTGACACTAGATGGCGACACGTGAATAGTAAGTAATATACTTTTTTTTTTTAAAGAAGTGAAAATGGTATGGTAACTCCGCCTGTTAGCGCAGGCGGGGTTACAGAACAGGGGCGGAACACCAGTAAAGGGTGATAGATGAGAATGAAAACAGGCCAGTGAGCCCATCATGATGAATTCATCAGGAATTACCCTGATGAATTCATGATTTGTTCCAGATATATTGATGATGATGATGATAGTTTCCAGGGGGAACCGCGAGGAGGTCGACCTGGTTGGGTATATTGCTAGCAATTGGATTCTCAGTCTCCATTACTAACAATCCCTTTCCCCCCAAGTAATATACTACCCAGCTATATTTATAAAATAATTCCATCCTAGCAGTTTTTTAAACAATTCTTCCAGAAGGGCCCAAATCAGTTTGGTTAAGAAAAAGTTGACTTAGAAAAATTCAAAGTCCTGTTGTGTACTATTCAATATAATGCTTAAAAGCATTGTTCCGAAACTATTGATGGTAATTTTTCACCTTATCTATACAAATAATAAAATTGTAGAGTCAAATGTTATTAGTGGGATTTTAGAAGTGAAATAAAACACATCCAGTTCTTTTTTCAAACTTTTTGTTTTAATATTTAATCAATTTAAATGAAATTTTGCATGGTGGTACCTTACACCCCAGTCAACATTTTAGATACTTTTACGGAAAATTTGGAAGACAAAGAGTGAGAATGACGTGTCATTTGTTAATTCTAAAAAATTCCAGCTGCATGTAGTTCCATAGGTACTAAAAAGAATTTGTTACCCAGAGTATCATAGAATAAACAAAAATGCATACCTGAGCTGACCGTGAGCCATCGCTAGTGACGGCGGTCCAGTGGTCTGGCCACTGTTCATCACGCCAGCCCCCTTCGTTGATCATGGGCTCGATGGTGAAACAATGGCCGGGTTTCATTATGCCAACTGCTTTGTTTTCTATAAAACATCATATTTTTTTAAATAATTTATTACCGATACATTTAGTATTGCATTATTTTAGGATACTTAATATATTAGAAATAACAACATAGTCCTGACAATTAGAAATCTAACATTATAATTTACGAAAACTGAATGAATAATTTTCCTCATACAAGATGGATTATTCTCCTTCCTTTCCAGAGATGTAGTAAGAGGCGATGTAGGGAATTTAAGCCTCGAAGGATGGGCAACAGTATCTTTTTTAAAACATGACTAAAACCTTACTGTGGTTACCAACCTATAAACACAACTACTGGCAAAACCCCTCAAGGGAGATATCTATGTTCAATAGTGAACGGTTAATAGCTATATGTTCTTTTCTTGCACTGATATATTCTCACTCTTTAATTCCTCAGTCACCACTTATAACATCTTGAAAAGGAATGACAGGTGACACATTGTATTTTTATATTTTATCGATGACTTCTTACAAATGGTGTATAAGAAAGAAAAGTTATTTAAAATTATACTCACTAGCATAATGTGGTACATTTGGTGCAGTATGGAACAGCCTATGTATCCCATGACCACAGTATGATCTCACCACACTGAATCCGTTAGCTTGAGCATGTTTTTGAATAACATTACCAATTTCCCTGTATTTCTCACCAGGCTTCACAATATCAATAGCTTTTTGTAAGCACTCATATGTAATTTGAACAAGTTTCTTGCTGGTCTCAGGGACATTGCCAACAAAGAATGTTTCATTGAGATCACCATGGAAGCCTCTGTGGTAGACGGTGACATCCACATTGCAGATATCGCCATCCTGCAAAATTTTTTTTAATTTCTATAATGACAATAAAATGAATGCCAAGGAAAAATATATTAGTCTACATCATCAGACATTCAAAGTATCTCAAACCAAATCATATTTATTCGCTTGCTACATGGTACAATAAGAAGTTACATACATATACAGGTACATAACATACAGCACCCCGCAGAGGTATGCAAATGTTAAAATGGTTTTAAGTTTACATTATATTACAATTATAAAGTCCAAACATTTTCCAAATTACAATATTCTTTATGTCAAATTATCATGTAAAATTATGGTTTATATTTTAAGTAATTTTTAATACATTACATCTTATATTACATTTTTCAAAAGTATTTGTGTATCATATATCAACAATATCTCTCCAACTGTTAAGTATCCATTGCTACCCATACCTCACCAATTAAATACTTAATAGGCTCTTACAACATCCATGAAAAATGAAGGAGTGGCCCATTCTATGCCAGGACAACACAGCATCATATATACATGAACAAATTTTACTAGATTTTGATAATTCTTTTATTATTATTACCACAGATTACTAGTGGATAATGAGAGAAAGAAATCAGATCAGTTGGCATATTGTAATTAATTTAAAAGCATTTCACCACAATGGTTTTCTTTTCAATTTGGATACAGCCTGGCAAATATCAGTTATTTAGGACTTTATCCTGCAATTTTGCCTGCATGAATCATTATAAAAAATATCATATGTGCTAAGTTAGGGTTTTACCAATCTATGTAGTAAATTTCATCCAAAAACCATTTAATAGTATAAGAGTAAATAAGTAACAATACACGTCTTTACAAACTTTCATATTTATAATATTAGTGGAATTATTGCAACTTCAATTATGAATTTAAAGTACAGACCTGTAATGGACGTAAATCCGGTATCCCATGGCATATAACTTCATTGACTGATGTACAGCAGCTGTTGGGGAAGTTGTGATAGTTCAGGGGGCTAGGGTAGCACTCCCGTTCAATGCATGCCTCGTGCACTACACGATCAATTTCATCTGTAGTTACTCCCACATCACACACCCTGAAAACATAAAATCAATTGTATTTTAATCAACAAACAGAATTTCAATATTTTTTTACATGTATTGAAAAAAATATGTTTATGACTGTAATTTTTAGTGGGATAGTCAAATGTTTTTGTTGATTATAATTGATGTTAGGAGGGTGACACTCGATATGCCTACATTTCATCAAATTACAATCCAATGTGAGGATAAGACTCAGCTCAGTCAATCACAATAATTTGATGGTTTGTTATCATTATTTTCTAAAACATGAGAGTTAGTTAAATATTAAAATGCTTATATTATTTTCAATTTTCACTTAATTTTATTTCACTGAGAAAAATTACCCTATGATTAATATGAAAGCCTGTGTAAAAATATAAATAAATATAAAAAAACAATGCACAGATGTTTAGATGATTATCACATCATATCAGCCGTTAACTGTTGCTTATTGCTAATTTAGTATTTTGATTGTCACATAATATTCTGTAGAAATCAAAATAATACCATTTTTTTAAACTTGTTAAGTAATAAAATAAGTTGAATATAATATTTCAAAATATCTGTATCATGTTCGTATTGTCTTTTAAGTAATAAACTCTTAAGATAATTTAAGGATGTTTTATAGTAACTATTTAAACAAATGAAATGCAATACTTTGCAGCTTCATCCAGTACTTCTCGCCCAAGGCGGCACGCTACACGCATCCCTTCAATTTCTTCATCATCAAGCACTTTGATCAGGCCAGAACCCTTTACTGCATTTTCAGAGGCGGGAAAACCAGTTGGATGATCGGCATAGTCAGGCCGACCGATATGAGAAGGCACAGTGCGCTTTGGCCCAGCAGGAAAAGGTCTTAGCTTCCCCGTAAAACAGTATGACGGCCATGGATTATACTCCACGTTAGACCCATCTGTACTCTCACCCTCTATAACAATAAAAAAATTAAGTAATACAATTTGTAACTTAAGACCGCAACATAACCTAAAATCAACTCACTCGCCAATGAATGTATTATTTTATGGGTCTTCCAAGACTTCTTAAAACAATCTTGATTACAGAAAAACGACCCTTGTATACCGATTTTTATACAAGTCGGACACTGCAACTGTGCAATTGATTTACAACCAGGAGTTTCACACATTCCAATAGCAGCCATTTTTAAATACGACAGTAAGCAAAAAGCAATGTCATCAATCAAATGTCATACTTCGTAATGTCAAAACAACACAATGACCAACATTATAAAAAAATATGCATGATTTACAAGGTTCACTAATCGTATAGAACCCGCGTAGACATGCATTAAACTCTGTACATGATCATTCCTATAGTTATACCTGTTTCAATTAAATACAGCTGCACAGAGGGAGACTCTGTACAAAACTTGATTGCTTGGGTACTTCTGTCCCTATCGTGTTTCTACCGTGATGCAGATGTGTTTGCATGGGTGTGTATCGGTTTGAAGAGTGGGATAGGGCGTGAATTTAAAGGGTGCAGAGGAATAACACCTGAATCCTCAGGAATGGCAACGCATGGGAGGCATCATGGCTGAAACAGTATACTTTGTTATGTCCATGGTACTGCTCATGTCTACAGGCGACGGTTACTACTTTCATCAGGTGGGCCGTCAGTTTGTTTGCCAATCTAAGTTGTATAAAAAAAAAAATATTTTATAGATTTATTGCTATTTTTATGACCGCATTACTTAATAAAATTATGTGAGCTACTTATTCGTACCTATTTCTCCAATATGCGAGCTAATATCGATGATAGGAAATTCCACCTGAAACATCGTGACGTCTGATTTTGGTCTGTAAATGAATAGTCTTTACGATACAATGTTATAACAAATAGCAATAGAGTTTCTGCTTACAGGGTACCAATGAGAGACAATGGACGAGGATAATATCAAACTAGTTGGCCTATCATGGCAAATTCACCAGAAATTAATTAGTTTTTTAACTAACTAATTTTTCCAGAAAATACCATGTGAAGATCGTGGAGTCGTGGTAGCTAGCAATGATATTGTTAGTCCTCGTATATATTTGTTACTCTTTCACACAAAAACTACTGAACAGATTGCATTCTGAACTAGGACTGACTATTCAAAATGCTTATAATTAAGTTTACTTAAATAATAAATATTTTTATTATTTTTTATAAAGTAGATACGTAACTAGCACTTACTCGGCCCTCGAAATTGATTCAACCACCCGTCAGGACAATCCCAAGAATGGATAATGACGTTTCTTGATAGCACGTACAAATGATAGCACGATTCCAAAATTTCACTGCTCATTGCGCATTGAAAACCGTCTGAGGAATCTTATTGTAGATTTATATAATTATTAAAGTCTCCATAAGGAGACAAAATTTTAATAATAAAAGTAAAAACTAAAATTTTTATTGACCATTGACGTAAAAGCCGCGAGTTTTGCTTCTTTTCTATGCTTTCTTCGAATTGGCCAGTACAATTTAATTGAAATGCAAATGTTCTCCATTTGAAATATAAAAATTTTCCAGTCAGTAAGTACTTACTATCTTTAGATAAATAACTCTATTCAGGGCAATATTTACCTTTACCTATCTAAATTTAGTCACGCGCGTCAGACAAAGATTCTTTCAAATCTTTTGTTCAAAATAAACGATTGTTAAGAAACGAACAACTAAATTCTAACTCGTACTAAAATATTTTTCTATGTTTTTTTTTTGATTGGTGAAAATGGTATGATGACTCCGCCTGCGCTAACGGGATACGCTGGCGGGGCACCAGTGAAGGGTGATAGATGAGAATGAAAACAGGCCAGTTAACCCATCATGATGAATTCATCAGGAATTAACCATGATAGTTTCCAGGGGGAACCGCGAGGAGGTGACCTGGTTGGGTATATTGCTAGCAATGGGATTCTCAGTCTCCATTACTAACAATCCCTTTCCCCCTATTTTTGTATGTTAGTTTATTGGCTATGTCATTGAAATTAATTCGTTGATTTTTGTATGCAACAACTCTTTATCTGGATATCTAGCTAGTATTCATATCGACTGTCTTTTATCTTACTACTTACTACCTAATATAATAAAATTGTAACTAGACAATGTCTATACATGGAAGAAAAAAAATTATAACATTATAAGAGGAATAGAAACTAAAATAATAATTCTTAAAATTTTTATTTGTCTGTATGTTTGTTGTTTGTTCTGGTATGACTTGAAAAATACTGTACAAAATTAAATACAGTTTTCGCAGTTGTATTTCTAAAGTGTAACTTAAAAACTGATGTATGTTTAAGTTGGATACGCTATCTAAGAGTAGTCTATTTCATTGGCTTTATTTGTGAAATCCACGCATACAAAACAGTGGGCAGAAAGCTAGTTAAAAAGAAATCGAAAAGCTTGAATATTTTATAATAAAAAAATAAAAGTTTTTGTTGGTTTTCCTTGTTGGCTAGTCTTCGTTACTAATGAAACAGTTAGAAAACTGTTCCATTATTAGCAATATACGTATACGGTCGACTTCCACGCGGTCTCCCTTGGAATCATCGTAGCTAATTTATTGTTGAATTCGTCATGATTATTTGACTTACTTAATTCTCATCTATCATCCGATAGCTCACCGAAGCCCTGCCAGTACCCGATATACCTTATACCGATAGCGCAGGCTAGTTACTAGGTTTAGAACTGACATAGTCATGAAGTAATAATAAAAAAAACGTAAGAAAAAAATCTTAATACGGTTGTATTCTGACCGACTTCAAAAAAAGGAGGTTCTCAAATTAGTTGAATTGAGGGCCTCCTTCTTCATGAAGGAGGTTGGAAAAAACCGATTAAATTTTTATCTATTACCATCCCATGTGGTATGTGTAATTTTTATAAGATGAGAATATCCAGCGGATACCAGGTAGGTTACCAGGTAGGAACTCCAAACCTATCAATGAGGGGGGAAAGGGATTGTTAGTAATAGAGACTGAGAATCCCATTGCTAGAAATATACCCAACCAGGTCGACCTCCTCGCGGTTCTCCCTAGAAACTATCATGGTTAATTCCTGACGAATTCATCATGATGGGCTAACTGGCCTATTTTCATTCTTATCTATCACCCTTCACTGATACTCCACCAGCGTACCCCGTTAGCGCAGGCGGGGTTACCATACCATTTTCACTAATTGAAAAAAAACCCATCAATAAAAAAAACTTACTACCGAAGTAAATAGAGAACTATAGAAACAAACTTTAACAAAGATCAAAGAAATTAAGGGCAATGTTCATTGTAATGCGGTGTACTCGTAGTTAATGAAGGCCTATGTTTACTTGCCTAAGACTATAGAGTTAGGTTCCAGGTGAGTATTAGGGCCAGCCATAAAGGACTCGACACGTGGACTTTACAGCATTGCGATAAGGTTAAAAATATGATGAGAAGTGGTCAGCAAAGTTTTGTTCATAGTTAGAGCGAAAATTATGTCATAAGTACCTAAATTTACCTTGTTACCTAATACTTTACCTTGTTCCTACTTGCGTGAATTGGTGTTTTAAAAATGTCTTTAAAAATGTAAGCCTGTGAGAAATAAATACTGAGAATACTCGTATATACTATTTATACTGTTTATTCATTAGTACAAATATGTGTACATGACGGACTTGATGCTAAAAGTATTCTCTCCCAGTCAACCATAGGGAAGTGTCAGAATACTCGAATGCGGTACTACTAATTATTGATATACATACATACTAAAATTACATATATAAACGAATAGATATATATGAATAACAAATATACTTACACATATATGATATATACTATATTATACACAAATTTGGGAATAATATAAAGCACTTACTGCTCGGATAAAGATAAAAAGTGAGCGTGAACGCTTTTTTTGAAAGATAATCTAAGGCATCTTATTATTATTGAGAACATAAAATCTCATACAAATTTTACTTTAAAATTTTGCTCTTTTTTGTAATAAAAAATTTGAAAAAACTTGCTTTTAATTTTAAAATATTGCTTTGCTTTAATAAAAAATGCGAAATAGATGAGAAAAGTGGCGAAAATTATAAGTATAAAAAAATGCTATAAAATTTGAAAATATGTTTGGCGAACATATTTAGGCAATCAATTTATTATTAAACAGAGACGAAATTGGGGGCTGTTTAATTATTTTATTACCATATCACTATACAAGTTATATAATTTTAAAATATTGCTATAACTGCTTTTCAATATTTTTTTTCTTTATAAATAAATAAATACCCACCCAGCCACTTATAATTGTTTTTTTATTTATATTACAAAAAGATTTGGCTTATAGTCTTACGACCGGCCGCCTGCCTGTCGTCAAGCCTCTTTGGGAATGCATTTGTTGGATGGTTTCCGCCATCTACGGAAAATGGGTAAAGGAAATTGATAAATAAGAGGAATAAGCGACTTATGTGGGAATGGAAAGGAGGAGGAGGGGCAAGTAACGGCCGATATAATAATAATAATTATTATTGTTTCAGCTAATTATTGCTCAAACAAATTAAAACGCGTCCGTTTGTTCCACAATTTTTGTTATATTTTGTTATAGTTACAAATACGTCATAAATATAATCTAAGGTCATAAGAGTAATATCACTGAAATGAAACGCTAAAAATAAATAAAATAAATACAAACAGAAAGCAAAGTTTGAAATAATTCAGTGGGATTAACAATATTTAAATTGCTCTCTTCATTTACTAATCCCTGACATTTCGGGATGGTTGGGGATTCGTGAAGCTCGTTTGTAGAGAGTTTGTTAATTTGCAGGGATTATCTGAATGCTAGGCCGATAAGGTTTTGGGGAAGATAAAATACTTACTAACCGCACACAGTAGTTACTTATAACATTTTTTTTTTCTCATTATAAAGACAATAAACACTATACTTTCACAATTATTGTTTTATATTTTTGATGATTATTGGCTGTGTGGTCCCGGCACAGGATAGGTCATCTCTTTCTTTCCTTGGGTGTCAAAAGTAGCGACTAATCTAATCTCGTTCCATTCTTAAAAAAAGGAACTTAAGTTTTAAAACAAATATTTGTATATCCACTATCTCTTTATTCATAACCATTTTTTTTTTATAAAATTGTATTATTATCATGAGTTGTTCATTTGTTATCGCTTAGCGTTTTAGCAAGTCAATTCAGCGAATTGTCCTGTAATTTT